TAACTGACTGATTATGTTCACTGTTACCTTGAATATTTGAACCCTTACATAAATAGGATCATTAGAGATTAGACATTTCAGGAAGTAGACTATCATGGCTCTCCACAATTTCCTGTCTTTTGTTCTTCGAAGTAAGTTTTATCTTTTTACCATGCCCCATTGTCCTTGTCCTGCCATAAATTCATTCAAATTCCTTCATCAGTTTATTTATTGTTTCAACCTGCCTTTCTTGACTTCAATATGTCCAGTGAGCGTTAAATTTTCCAAATGTTAACTCTTTCTGGTTGTAAATATTTGTTTCTCTGTAATTTCTAATCTTCTTAAAAGTTCCTTGTTACTCACATGTTTTGTTTATAGCATTGTCAATATTCATAGAATCACATCCTTCTCACTTCACATCTCTTCTTCATCTGTGAGGAGGTTGCCCAACTTATATTTTATTTTAGTAAATGAAATGAAATTTATTCATCTATAAAGAAACTATTGAGCATCTTTGGCATCAGCTTTTTTTTTACCCTTTTCTGCAATCTGTTGTAATGCATTTTTATGTCATGGTTGTTTTTCAAGCTGTAAAAACAAAAACAAACATTGAGAATAACTGTGCAGCCATTTAAAAGAATAGATGCATAGGGATATCAGGTGTAATATGCTACAGGTTGCATTACAGTAACTATTTGAAAATTTATCTCTGCAGATTAAAAAAATTGTATTGGAAAAAAATTTTTTTCATTGAAATGTTTCTGAACTGTATGTTTATTTATGCAATTGCTTAATAAGAATTTTTTACTTGAGAAAATTCTCCTTCTTCTTTATGTGCCATGTCCCCTCAGGACATAGATGGACATGGCCCGCCACAACTTCCTGTCCCTAAATAAATTTTATCTTTCTGTTATTTCTTCTAAACTCTGTTCTGCCATTCATTTACTCAAGCTCACTAGGTATGTCATACACTGTTTTCCTCTTTATCCTTCTTGACCTCAATCTGTCCTGTGTGTATCAGATTTTCCAAGCCCTCCTTCCTCATTATGTGCCTTAGAAACCTCAACTGTCTATTCCTGATGTTAAATATGTTTTCTTTCTGTTTCCATTTTCTCTAAAACTTCATTGTTGCTCACATGTTTGGTCCATGGTATCCACAGCACTTGTTTTGATAGAATTATTCAGATTCATATAGTTAGATGAATCATATTGATCTTCTCCTGAGATTGGTTTAGAGGAAGGGATGTTTAATTGTCAAAACTCAGAGATGATAGTCTATAACACATTGTAACATATTCCAAGACTTTCTCTGCTTGTGGAGGACCCACTATTTGCTGGTTACAACAAAAACAACAGTTTTAAGGTATTTTTTTTTAAAAGCTAATTGTGATGAAACGCTTAATTGGACCTGCTTGGAACTGTAGAACTCCCCCCTCCCTTGCACCCCAAATATCATTTGATAATAATGCATTTAAAAATATGCCTCCATATGAACAAAGAATATCTTTGTTAATGAAATGAAGAAATTATCACCCTTAGATTGCTCTTCTCAGGATATTTAATGGCTAGTATAATCCCAATGACTACTTGAGGAATTAGAATCTTAAAGTGACCATTTTAATTTTTGTTTTATTATTTTCACTATTTGATCCTCTCCTGAATCTAAATTGATATATGAAATTAGAATAACTAACTTGAAAATGATTGTGAAATTTAAAAAGCTTTTTTTTTTTTTTTTCTACTGAACAGTTTTTATTTCTTGGTTGATTTATTGTGTTTAATCTAAAATATTATTTTGTTTGCAGGTAGAAATAATATTTATCGCTTGCGCTAGTCTGTTTTTGACCACTGTTCTTCCAGTTCGGCAATTTACGGAACATTTAGGTAAGCAGACATATTTTTGTTTCAGAGTTAGCCATGTCAAATAAATGTAAATTGAAATTGTGATTGAGCTTTGTGTTGGAGTCAACACTCAACAAAATATCATGCTTCAAGTGTCATTTGTGGATAGAGCTGTGTTTGCTGAAGCATCCCTCTTGACAGTATAATGCTTGGAGCTTCCTAATTCCATAAAGTGTTGATCTTTAGCCGTCTTTTCACTGCACCATGATACTCATAATATTCCTACACTATGTTATTGGCAGATATGTTTTTTGTCATGAATCCGACATGGATGTGCAGGTTAGGGTAATGTTTAGGAGGCCGAGTTTGAATAATGATCAAGTTTCCTAAAGATATTTGTATAAAACTGAATACTTCTGCACAAATATCTTTAGGAAAATTATGAATTCATCTCTTCTTCCCCCACCTATGGGTTAAATAGCAGAACAAACTGAGCTCTCTAGTTATAGTTAGCAACCTGTCTAGGAAAGGGGCAACTCTGAATTCAAAATCGTATATAACCCTGGCAGCATGCAAACTATACGACCATGGAAAGGATTATGGAATCCATAATTAAATGTTTTGTAGATTTATGAATTCTATGATTTTGACTAAGGTTGACTTGTACTTTATGTTTTCTGTGATCCATAACACTGTGTGAAAGTGTATTTGTAATGTTGTCAACTCATCAAAGGTGCCTCGATTATTTCTCAGAAGATACTTCTTCCTCATTCTGGCTTTTTACCCCAGCTTGTCTAATAAACTATATAATTGTTGCTCATTCTTCATCTAATGTTTGACATCATAATCCCAAATTAGTTGTTTGATATCTCAACCTCAGCAGACTTGTAGGTTAAAGAAGCAGCAGACAAACGATATCAGAATGTGGCTCCTCTTTTAAATCACTTTAATTCTCAAGGGTTGTGTTTTCTGAATGCGTGTTTATTATTATTATTCAATGATTATTCTAGACAAACATCCTCATTTTACTTTTATCACATTTATCAGCATGTATAATAATAATAATAATATCTAATGTCTGAAATTGTAACAATTTGCCAGTTTATGATTGGTTATGGTCTCAGTCATGTGACATGTTTCGAAACATAACAACTCAATACTGAAACAACTCAGAAAAACATCTTTTTTTTTTTATAACCAAAAAAGTATCATTTATTATATTTATTTATAAAGTATCCTTTATTAAAACCTTAATTAGTGAATATTTTTAATTATTTTTAATAAAACAAAAATATTCATTAATTAAGGTTTTAATCCTTAGTAAATTACTTTTATTCAGTTATAAAAAGGTTATGTTTTCTGGTATTGAAATGTCATTTTCTGCACCCTCTTGTTTTGACTTCTGTCAGTGGACAAATGTCACATGACTTCCAAAACTGGGCAAAATATTTTCCTATAAAGCCAATATCTACAGTCCTATTAATTTGATTGAGAAAGGGTTTTTAACTATGCAGCTGAGTATGGTGAATATTTCTTTTTATAAACTTGAATTCTGATGAAGGATTTTGTTAAAAAAAATGAAATATAATAGATTATTTTCTATTTCTGATTTTCAGTTTTCTCTCTCTGTCTGCAGCAAAAATCAAAGAATGTTTTTCAGCCTAAAAAGATTGTCAAGACTGTAATTGTATAATTGTTACTTTGCATCAAATTTCCTGAAAGTTGCAAAGAGCAATGATTTCTATAATGAAATGAAATCAAGTAAAAGCTGAGGACTGTGTTTATTCTTTTGAGAATTGTCATCCAATTGTCATATTAAGGTTGTATAATATTGCCCATCTTATGGTGCAGTTTTCATGTTAGGAATATACTTTTATCATTCGGATTTAATCATATATGGTTATCCATACTTCAGCTGTCCCATGAGACACTCATAATTATATTGATAGATTAATGATATAAATAACAAAAAGAAGATATTGCTGCTTTCTTTTCTCATTTTAAAATATCTTCAAGATTTTGTGGATATTTTTTTACAGCTGTTTTGTTTATTCTTAAGCTTTGAGAAAATATAAGATAATTATGAGTAGAGTTTTTTTCCCAAATGTTTGCTAAGCCATACAGAGTGCAGGGAGAAGTGGATTCATGCTTTCCCTAAGGACATTATCACAAAATGAACATAAGTAGCTTGAACAAGAATTGAAATACTGTTCTCCTAATTTTGCTGAGTGTGTTGGAAGCTGTCAGGCCACCTCCTGTCATTGGTAACAAGCAATACCATTTTATCAGTTCTTATCAACCAAGAATATCTTTATTGCATTTTATGACTTTTCCCCTGTGGTGAGTTGCTAGCTTTTTAAACTGAACGTTTTATGGTACATTTATCTTCACTTAAGCATACAGAATTATCTTAGCACACATCTAGATAGTTATTCCTTCTCCCACAAGAATGAAATGCAGCCATGCAAATACATTCTAAGTTGCAGACATCGATAGAAACAAAATATTGTCTTTTTTTTCCAGGCTGATAATCAAATGATAAAATTATTTTTTAGAATCTTAAGAATTATTCCAGAGATTTTTCATATTATTTTCACATTTCTGCTGTTTTCCAGCACAATACAGGATGTCATATTTTATTATGCAATTCAATGTTTTCACAATAAAATTGCTACGGACTGATTGATATTAGTAAAATTTTCAGAATATATTCATATAATAATCTGAATTTCAATTTCTAATATTTGTTTTTCATATAAATATTTAAAACATATTTAGTGGTGTAAGATTTTATAAAATCACTTAAAGGTTGTTAATCATATTGCAAATTATAGTATAGTTATTGATATTTATTTTTTTAATTCAGATTTTTTTTAATCATTTCACCCTAAGCAAGGCAACAAACCCACTAAGACATACAGAGTTACAGAGCATGAAAGAATATAAGCAAAAGCTTTATTAAGGAGTAAAAACAATAAAAGAACAGAAATTAAGACAACAGAAGATAATGATTGACATTGCATTTAAATTTTTATGAAGATCCAATTTGGCTGGAAAGCAAGAAGCCAGAAGAGAGTTTCATAAGCAAAAGGTGAAAAAAACTGTTAACACAGAACAGTAGCCATTTCAATTGTAAAATTATGAGACCGTGCCACCAATCTAGTACTGCATTAAAATCATAAAGTCAAGGTACCATAGAGGAAAATTTATCAAAACAATTACCATGAATATATTTATAGAAAAGGTACAGAGAAGCTACATTATGGCGGTGAGAAAGGGAGTGGAGCCAAGATGCCATATCAGGACCAATGACATTGCAGATTCTTCTTTGTATTTTATCAAGAATCTCTAAATATATAGTGGGAGCACCATATGTGAGAGCAATATTTAAGGCATGATTCAATGGTAGACTTATAAATATGTAAAATAGATTTAGGGGAGAAAAATTGTCACAGTGAACCAACTTTCCTAGCATCAGACCTAACAATTGATGGGACGTAGGAAATATATAACCTCAAAAGAGAAACAAGATATGAAGTTAATGTGTGATGGAAAAACAACATTGTTTTACTTTTGCCTAATTTCCAGAGATCAGAGAATACTCACAAAAGAAATTGAAAACATTGACAAGATAAAAACACAAAAAACACTGGCTTTAAAAATTTCGCAAAATTAATATATGTATATTTACTTATTTTCTCTGTAAATTTCTGGGATAAGGATTTATTTACATTATTTGCATTTGGACTATTGTCTTCATCTTTGTACTTGTTATCACAGTTTTTTGGCCATTATGCTGAAAGATTATGTCTGAAGGAATTGATGCATATACTATGCTACGAGGACTTTCTTCTCCATAGCTATATTACTGTGCAAAAATGATTACATCCATATTACATTCATTCATCCATCTATCCATCCATCCATATATATATATATATATATATATATATGGACAGTGTGGGCATAAAAATTAACACTGAATCATGGATCACTGGCTCATTCAAGTCTTCAGATCAAATAACGAGGTCCATTATTGTTCTACCCCATTTCTTTCAACAGGATATCAAGGTCAATGCCACCACTTGGTCTGAAGATCACATTGTGGTGTGGAACTGACAGTCATAATGCAGAGAGCATTCCTATGCCCACACTACTTATATAAATATTATATCACCAAGGACAACTCAAAACTGTGGTGAAGACATAGGAAAACCGCTCTACTATCTTTACCAGAAAGGGACTGGGTGTTAAAGAAAAGAGAAAAAAAAATGACTTTAATAACGTCACAAAAAAAGATTTGAGAAACTTAAAAGGGTAATAAGTAAGAAAAGCGGATCAACCAGCAAGAAAATATTTGAAGGTGTTGGTGATGTGAATGAAAACAAAGAGAAAAGAAGCAAAATATAAAGAACGTTGAATAAAGACATGAAAGAATCCAAACTTCCACCTTTAAGTAAGCATCATGAAGAGAAATACCTAAGTTAACAAGTTGACTGCCAGAGGTCAATTACAAAATCTGACTTGAAACGCCAACTTAGGCAATAAAAAATTTTATGAGTTGATTTATAGCTTCAACTGAAGTCTTAACATTGTTATTAAACCAAAAGTATTACTGTGAATAAACTGCTGTTGACTCCCTCAGGTGAAAATGTATCAGAAAATGCCAAGCTTGTAGTTTGCATCTTAATAAAACCTGCCAATCATATGTTTTCTTATGGTTAGAAGTCAATGTGTTAAGGTGAAAATATATAGGAAAAATGATTTCTCAGTAATTTTTAGGGATGAATGTAGAGCTACATTAGATGGACCTGATTGTTAGGCTTCATAGGAATAGGCATCTTTGAATACAATGGTGAGGTGGTGGTGTAATGTTTCATTTTAGTAAATGCAGAGAATTCCTGTAAGTTCTGGGACAAAACATTTTTTGAATGATCCAGTTTATAACCAAGAAGTTTTAAGCTAAAAAGTCTGTTCACCCAAGACAATGCTCCTTCACACACTGATAAGCTCCACTTGCTAAAATAGTTTCAAACAATACT